AGGAAATGGGAAAGCATTGGAAGACACAAGATCTACCCACACTGGAGGAATGGCAGATGAAAATGATGGACTATATGGAATTGGCGGAAATGACTGGCAGAATCCGAGACCAGGGAGAAGAGTCGGTGGAAGAAGATTGGAAGAAATTTAAAGACTACTTACAGAAATATTGTAAAATTAATGAATGTTAGAATGATGACGGATTGAAGTTAAGTGGTTTCTAGCGGTAATGGTATAAAAAAATATGGAAAAATTGGTTTTTAATATGTAAAAATTTAATGTTATAATTTATCAAGATTAAAGATTAGGATTAAAAAGGAGGGAAAGGAATTGCTGGATTAACATATTGAATTGGAATACAAAAGAGGGAGGTATGAGGAGGTCTGGGAAACAAGTAAATGTAAAAGAAGCGATGAAAAGATGGAATTGTTTTTAACTGTTTTTCCTTTTTTGTATTTTGTATTTTTCCTTTTTATTGTTAATTTTCTCATTAATGTGATTTTTCTTCTTTTGAAATTTTAATAAATATTATTAAAAAAAAAAAAAGGAAATGGGAAAGCCTTTCCATTGTCTTTTGCTTACCTGTCTTTGGGGCATCTTTGTGTATGGATAGGGTGAGCCTGTGACCTGGATTCAGGAATTAAAGTATTTACCACCACAAAAGAATGGCCGGGCTGGCCAGGTGAAGCAATCAAGTGACCGTTATCACTATTCTGCCAGACAGGATTTGTGCTGTAGCCCACCTCCTTCTGTGATGTATGTATGATGTTTTGGGGGGTGGTCTCTGGCTACAGAGGGACGTGGGTGGCGCTGTGGGTTAAACCACAGAGCCTAGGACTTGCTGATCAGAAGCTCGGCAGTTCGAATCCCCACGATGGGGTGAGCTCCCGTTGCTTGGTCCCTGCTCCTGCCAACCTAGCAGTTCGAAAGCACATCAAAGTGCAAGTAGATAAATAGCTACCGCTCCAGTGGGAAGGTAAACGGCGTTTCTGTGCGCTGCTCTGGTTCTCCAGAAGCGGCTTAGTCATGTTGGCCACATGACCCGGAAGCTATACGCCGGCTCCCTCGACCAATAAAGCGAGATGAGCGCCGCAACCCCAGAGTCGGCCACGACTGGACCTAATGGTCAGGGGTCCCTTTACCTTTACCTCTGGCTACAGGGTGGACAACTTCAAGAGTCTATATAAGGGCTTGCGCACCATTGTTCTGGGTTCCTCCTCCCTCCTGCATTTGATGAGTGAGGACCCTGTTGCAACAGTTTAATAAGGATCAGGCTTACTAGCTGCTTTGCTTCTCAATATTATCTGATTGGCCTCTGTTATTTTCTCCTACCAATAGGGAACCCACTTAAGGATTCTATATGGGCTCTGCAATACCCGATAAGGAAAAGGGAGCAGTTTTTCTTATAACATCTGTATTGAGGGTAAGAAAAGACTGTTTATCCAGTCCCCTGCTGGTTTCACTTTTGTGGGATGTTAGCATCCCAAATGCTTGTGTAAATGGTCCATTGCAAGAGGCTGTAGAACTCTGTGATATCATACACTTTGTGAAAGTTATGGCAGTTAGTCTTAACAGAGCAGCAGATATGCTGTGTTGTACTGCTGTCTGCCTCAGAGTTAGCTAGTTTGATCTATGTCAGACGTATTAGCAATTTAAGAAACATCCACCCACATTGCGTATTTAATCTGCAACTGCAAGCGCACTCAGCAAAAGTTATTTGTTCCTTAAACTTTAAAAGAGAGTGCCTTGCGAAATTTTTATAGGAGGGAAAGAGAACTAATTAAATGGTCAAACGACCCAGGGCTGTCTTCCTTATATGCTGCAAATGGGAACTAGAGTCTGTCATTCCCACAACTTTCCCCCTCTCCACACCCACCGTATTCCAGGTCAGTTTAGGAACAAAGCTTCCATGCTCTAGTTATCTCCCGCTTGGACTACTGCAATGCGCTCTACGTGGGGCTAATTTTGAAGGTGACCTGGAAACTACAGTGAATCCAGAATGCGGCAGCTAGACTGGTGACTGGGAGTGGCCGCCGGGACCACATAACACTGGTCCTGAGAGATCTGCATTGGCTCCCGGTACGTTTCCGAGCACAATTCAAAGTGTTGGTGCTGGCCTTTAAAGCCCTAAACGGCCTCGGTCCTGTATACCTGAAGGAGCGTCTCCACCCCCATCGTTCTGCCCGGACACTGAGGTCCAGCGCCGAGGGCCTTCTGGCGGTTCCCTCATTGCGAGAAGTGAGTTTACAGGGAACCAGACAGAGGGCCTTCTCGGTAGTGGCGCCCACCCTGTGGAACACCCTCCCCTCAGATGTGAAGGATATAAGCAGCTATCCTATCTTTAAAAGACATCTGAAGGCAGCCCTGTTTAGGGAAGTTTTTAGTATTTAATGCTGTACTGTTTTTAACATTTGATTGGGAGCCGTCCAGAGTGGCTGGGGAAACTCAGCCAAATGGGCGGGGTATCAATCAATCAATCAATCAATCAATAAACAGTATTATTATTCCTTTGGGAATACTTGGCAGAGGTAAAATTGGATTGGCAGACAGGTCCCAGGGGAAAGAAAATATCTTTGGTAGGGAAAGGGTTAAGCATGCTCTTGCTCCCCACCCCCCAGCTAAGGTGTGTTCACACTTTACCTTTAAAAATAATTCTTCCCCTCAAAGAATTCTGGGTACTGTAGTTCAGAGGAGCACTTCAAAGCAACCCTTAACAAACCATAGTGCCCATAATTCATTGAGGGAAACAGTATGCTCTGAATGCCATTTAAAGGTCTAGTGCAAATCGCCCCCAACTTGTTTTGCAGTGGATGAGAAGCTAGTATGGACTTTGTAATGTACACTGAGTTTAATGTGTGTCATTTGAGTCCTTTGTTTCACATAAGCGCACATGGAAAAGTATTCATTGTTCTAGTTGCCATGAGGAACTCGGTCGTCACGCAGGAGACCCAGCAGCCTGTATGTTGCTGCCCTTCATCACAGCCTATCCAGGTTTGTCTTGATAAGGAAAAATCCTGAGATGTGGATTTACTCCGCTGCCCAGCTTGACACCCCACGGGTCTCTCAGGTCAGCAAAGAAAGAGACTCCAGCCAAGTTAAAGAAGCAAACAGCACTCTGTAGACCTGATCTTTATTTGTTGTGTTGTAAACAAAAATTGCATAAAGAAGGCTGATCTCCGAAGAATTGATGCTTTTGAATTATGGTGCTGGAGGAGACTCTTGAGAGTCCCATGGACTGCAAGAAGATCAAACGCATCCATTCTTAAGGAAATCAGCCCTGAGTGCTCACTGGAAGGACTCCAGTGAGGCTCCAATACTTTGGCCACCTCATGAGAAGAGAAGACTCCCTGGGAAAGACCCTGATGTTGGGAAAGATGGAGGGCACAAGGAGAAGGGGACGACAGAGGACGAGATGGTTGGACAGTGTTCTTGAAGCTACAAACATGGGTCTGACCAAACTGCGGGAGGCAGTGGAAGACAGGAGTGCCTGGCGTGCTCTGGTCTCCTCCAGCACCATAATTCAAAAGCATCAATTCTTTGGCGATCAGCCTTCTTTATGGTCCAGCTCTCTCACTTTCAT